ATCCATCAATTCATTAGTAAATCTTTTTTTCCTCGTTTAGTTTGTTTATTATTTAAGATCTAACAATTGATACAAAAATCGACTCGTTGACGTTACGATTATTATTTTTAATTAAGAAAGGCTATGTCATGGATAATAATCGTCGAGGGACCGATTAATCCAAGTTCTCGTATGGTTTAACGCGACGAGGCTCTTTTCTCGTTAATTAATTGATCGGTCGATGATTCTCTAATCTTAGTTTTTACGAAATGATGCGACTGAACGATTAGCAAAAGGAGAGGGAGATGAGGTGTTGACAAAATAAAATCGTGGGCCGGAATCATTTTTTAAAAAATCAAATTGCCTATCAGATTAAAATATCTTTGGACGAGAAACAAAAATAAATGGATGGTTGCAAATCATAGTGGTATAAACAATTGTTTTAATATAATTTCATAATCAAAAATGAATAATACAACTTATTCGTCGGAAGGCGTTTTTATGAGTATACAATTTTTATAATAATTAACATAGAAATTTTATTATTCCTTGACACCACTACAATTAACAGTCCATTTTGATAGTTAATATAGACACGTAGAATTCTGAGTAACAAAAATTTTACACGTGGCAGGAAGGAGAAAACAAATTTCGACTAAACGAGGGCTTGGATGGAAGAAATATATAGAGGCAACATTTTTGTCTGTCGTCAAGACAATTCGAGCAAGACTAAAATATTATTCTGCTTAAATTTTCAATATATTTCACGGCAATTCAAGCATTAACAGATAATAAGTTTTGTACAAAATATCATAAAACAATTTCGAACGAAATTTATGTTCCTTTTTTTTATATAATATTTAAAGATAACAAGAAAAAATAATTCTCACTTCCCACAGACGATTTTTCAAGATATTTATACGCTAATGGTAATTAAACGTTCTTATACAACTAGTAGCAATCGTGAAGGTCTGTTATGAAGTCCCTTATTTACATAATTAATTAATATAGAAACAGGCACGTTTGCTAAAGACTTATAATTACCAAGACCGATCACAAGCAAATTGTCCTTAGAATAAGCAAATGGACACGCGTAAGACAATTTGAAAATGCCTCCCCTATACATACTTCTCTGGCGCGAACGGAACCGCGGAGCCGAAAAACGATGTGTGTAAAAAGAAAATCGGCGACGGCGGAGAGGTGAAACGAATGTTAAATGAATATGGAGGGATTAAAAACCTACCTGATGCGGCGAGTTCGTCGTCCTGTGGTCCTAAATTAGGCGAGAAAACGCGGAGGGCGCGTCCCGTGGCGTGAAACGATTCGTTAGAACTCTGCCGACTCTGATTGTATGGGAACGAGGGAACAACCTCGAGATGACGGTGCGAAGATTTGAAAACAGGGTTCTAAAGAGAGGAAACGAGAAAAGGTTCGTCTTGGCAGGTGTTCGTCGTCCTCGACTTTTACTCGGGTCTTGGATCCTCTTCGATCGTATCTCCTCCCCGGAAATCACGTGTTCAACGATCGAGATTGCGATCCCCGTCGAATTATCTCTGTTTACTCTGGCACGCTCTGTTTGCCATTTGTCAACGATCAGTTCGTTGGAAACTCGTCGGTCCGCTTGATCTTCCCCCGATCGACTTCTTCATCTACGAGACCTCCAAGATCCCGTTTGACTTCGATCTCGTCCCGACGATCCTCGGGTTATTATTACTATTGGTATTTGGCGATCATCCTCTCGTCCCCGTCGCGTCGTGTACATTTTGGTGGGTCTCGCGCGTGTGTTGTTAATTAATTCGCTCGGTTGCGTGTATATGCGTGTGTTCTGTCGGGTGTAGATGTGTGAGATCGGGCCAGAGGGTCGACTCTCTTAACGAGTCGGACTCTAGCTGAAGAGGCACGCGATGTCGCGGAGTTGTTGCTGCAATAGTATTATCTGCTCCACGTTCCGTATCCACATCCTGAAACGAACATAAAACGAGAACATAAGCGAACATACTTGCTGCGTGCAAAATTTATTGTCAGAAGATAGTTGATACTGACCGAACTCGAGCCGGCAGAAGAAGCAGACGTGGTAGCAGAGGTAGGCACCGTCAATATTGGATGATATTGTCTACGACCGCGAAGCCGCATGCCCCGAGACCAGCGTGAGACATTAGCCGTACCAATTCCCTCGCGTGGGACGCGGCAACTTCTAACGGCGGTCGTCGTGGCAAGTTACTCGACTCTGCAAACACAAATACCAACACGTTCGCCTTCGACGACTCACGAACTCGCTCTAAGCTTGAAAAGAACAAAATCCAAATGTTTCATCTTTATAAAACGACGACAATATCTTACCGAGTATGGCAGAATTGAGTCTCGCGCAAACGGTTTCTCTCTGCTGCGGATCGAGCTGCCAGCCGACGGGCGAGTTCCACGGATTCGCGTACGCGAGGAGACTGAACGCGTCCTGCAGCATCTTCTTGTTGCTCTCGTTCTTCCCGTGTTGCTGCCGCAAGTGTATCGACTGTGAGTACAACTGCCTGCCGAACTCCAACATCTTCTCAATCGCTTGTTTGTCGCCGCCGCACATTTGTTTCCTGCTGTTCTTATTATTCGATGTGCCGTTCTCGATGGTGCAGCTACCGTTTTGCTGTGGCTGCTGCTGTTGCTGCTGAGTTTGATTTACACTATTCGTTTCTGAGAACAGATACAAATCCATTTGATAATAAATAAAATTGTCTATGCATTTACTAAGTGTATGATTCTTGAAATGAACAATCTCTTACCCATGTCGACGTCTTCGCCGTTCTGACATTTGTACCCGTTCGTGTTGAGGTCGCCGTTTTGATAACCGTTCTCGGTATTCCCCTTCACGGTGCCGTTCACCATGTTCTCCTCCATGTCCACGTCGTTCTCGATTTGCCCGTTGATCATCTGCTGCTCGGTGGAACCGTTCATGGTGTTGTTCAGGTTCATCTCTTCCACGTTCCCGTTCGCAGCCGGCTTATTGTACGACTTTGTCGACTGTATCACGCTCGTCTGGTTCACGTTCGACACCTGGGTGATCTCCGAGTCGCTGCCGTTCACCATCTCCACGAACTGCCTACACTTGAGGGCGAACAAGAGATTCGGATCTCGTTCAAGGAGACCCGGGTATAGCCGACTGGTCAGCTCTATCGCCTCGCCCATTCTACCAGCCAGTACCAATTTTAGAATTTCTGAAACAAGTTAATTCGAACTTTAGAAGAAAATATGGTATCAATAAATTATGAACGATCATTTTCGTTTGCACAGTTTCCTTACTTTGTCTATTTTTGATGGAGTTAAGATCTTCCTCGAATCCCTGACCGGTGCTATTGGCAAATGCCTCGGCAGTGGCACAATAACCATGATGGACCAAATACGTTGACACCATTCTGAAGCAACGAGAAAACATCTGAATTAATCGGCGATATACGCATATCGAACTTATAGATATTTGTAACGCGTGCGTGCATACTTATTATTATGCGACGGAATACATTTATCTGCAAGGTCGTGTAACGTTAACTCAACGCAGTACAAGACACTTTCATTCGATCTTTTGTCTCGATGCTACGAGACTTGAAACGAAATGAATCCATCCAATTTGAAATAGTGCAACATATATCTTGGAACGATAAGAGGAGGAGCGGCTTACTTATGAAGAACTGCTTGCCACTGGCCCTGCCCATGATCCGGCGTTGGATAATTTATAATTTGCAATCTCGTTTTTACTCGTAACTCGTTCAACATGTCGTTTATGTCGAACACGAACGGTTCTTGACCGAAGTTCGCGTCGACCACCTCCCCAGGCGTTTGGAGACCCACCGTAGGATATAAATTTGGCTGCAACAATTATACGTTCATTCACAATTTCTTATTCATTTTTCACTTGCGATTATTAGAGGAATCTCACGCATTTATAAAAGTACTGAAATTACGTGAACGTGAATGCATATTGCTTAGATGATCTTTATGAATGTTTGAGTGAAATCTTTTAGGGGAGCTCGCGTACCGGAAGATCGGTGAAGGCGATACCAAGGTGGTGTCCGTTCTTCGTGTAAAAGGCAGTGTTGTCGACGAGATTGACGCCGCAGCCGATTACGTCGCCGGTGGTGAACGTGGGCCCGTACGGTTGGCCCGTACCGGAGGAACAGAAACTGTGCCCGTCGTCGCCGTGATAACCGTACGAATGTTTGTCCCAGCCCGGCAGCCTGTTCACGTTCACGCCGTGGGCCGAAAGACCAATCCCCATGTAACCGTCTCTGCCCTTGCTCACGATCTTCACCTCGAAGTAATAAAGACCGCAGGCAGCCGGTATGCTATGCGTCGTACGCACGCTCGCGGCGTCTTTGTGAGTTTTTCCGTAACCTAACACAATCATGTGCAAATCAAGCATATTGTCCCAACTGTAGTCCTTTCCGATGAGTTTCCATGAATTAATTGACTAAGTAGTGGTTTAAAAAACAAATAGAATTAGCTGTATCTTTGGTTTCATGAAATTAATTATCTTCACTATAATTAAATGATAAATTATTGTGCTAATATGAATTAAATTGAATGCACGTATGTAGACGCGCGTCAGAATGTACAATCCTATTTTCTTTTAGTAAAACAAGTTAGAGAAAGTGATCTACGAAGAGATCTAGGTGGAGGAAGAAATTCAAGAGGAGCAGCGAGATCTAATCGCTAATCTTGGATGCACTTGCAATGCAGCGATGCGGTTTGTCGACCCAGTGACCCACAGTTACCCATTTCACGTTTAATTGAGAATAAAAGAATTATTAACGAGCATTCTCTTACTAACATCGAAACTACTTACACCGTGACTGCGTTGTAATTTCATATCCATACAATGGACGAATCTGATCAACATTGTACAAATTAAATACATCATAAATTGTCTTATATTATTTCCTTCATTTATCAACGATTGCATTTCTTTTAAGATATTTGCAGACTTGTTTAACTCTATTGTAGCTACAACTCCGTTGTTCAATATTATCAACTGTTATCAGAACAATCAATAGGAATTAATCCGTCTTCGTGAAATAAAATACTTGAATAATAAAAGATAGTGTTCAATAGTTTTTATATTATTAACAATCGTTCGCAAACGAGGACTTTCAGTTCCAACGTACAACTGGAAGTTCAACAAACAATGAGGGTAACGTTTTGATAACATTTCAAGTATGGTAAACAATTCCGAGGGCTGAATTTTCGGGAACGATCGCGTGACGACGATAAACATTGTTAATTACCGTATATTAATTGTATTCTATAACCGATGCATCGTTCGATTAATCTCAATGTTAAAAAGTATAAAAAATCCGGCAGCTCGCTGGGAAAACGTCGGAAAACGTGATAAAGCGAGAGGGAGAGATAGAGGGAGAGAGAGAAAGAGAGAAAGAAGAGAAGGGTGGGAGATTGATAGAAGGATCGTGGGTGCAAAACAGGGAAAGGTATAGAGAGTACCGCGAGTGAGAGAAGGAGGGATAGAACGAGGAGAGTAACTGTTCAAACATCGCAGCTGTCATTGCCATTGCGCCTTCCCTACGCAGATTCCTTTTTTCCGCGTTTACGTCTAAAGAACGTAGCCAAGATGAAACGGGGTACAACGTCTAGGATCTGTACGTCGTTCGACGCATTTAGACGCGGTGCGATCGGCTCGGGGGACCGACGAGGAGAGCCGATCTCAGAGAAAGTCGAACGGAGACCATGACCGATCAGCTGATTCCTTTGTTTAGGTCGCTGACACACGCGAAACGGAGGCCCTGCCATTTTCAATCGATATTACAGCACCGTGAAACGATTCGTCCGTATCGAGCTGGGAATCGAATCCCATTGGCCGGGGATCGTTCCCACGGGTACCCCGTTCCAGGGGGGATCAGAGTTGAAAAATTAGATCGCGATTTATCGCTCGTAGCGTAGCAAAAAAAGAAGACACGACGGAGGAACCGAAACACCACCGCACGTACTTACGTACCTTTGTAGTGAACACGAAGATTGTTTTGGGAGAGGCCGATGTAATTGTACTTGTCCTTCGGGCTCCAGGACCGCGGCAACGGCGTTTCCTCCTCGTTCACCATCGGGTACAGTAACTTTAGCGGATCGACGGGCTGGCTTTGCCCGGAGTTCGCCTGAGAGGGCTCCATAACACTCGGTTCTTCGCTGGTGGCGGCCATCTTTCTCCTGGGCAGCCCCACTACTACTCGCCAGTGGACTGTGCTTCCCTAAGTGCGCACACACCGTGCGCAACTCAACTTTACCCTTGTATATCCATGAAACAATTCTTACACAGATAAATCGACTACCAATCATGCTGTCATCTATCGCTCCATTATAAATACCTACTTTTCTTTGAATTTCAGCATTACATGAATAAAATATTAAATATATACCGTTACATTCGATTTTCTAATTTCTAATTTGTTCCATGATCTCCAAACGCAAAATAGTTGTAACTTCTACTTTTATCTGTTCCCAATCTGTTCCTTATCTTATTTCTTGTACTGTGTACTTTTGAATAACTTTGACATGCATTAATTATTGTATAATTTACATACTTCCTTAAATTAATAGTTACCTAGGGAAAATCGTTAACTGATCGTAAAGTTGGACACATGACCGTCTTTCTATGGCATGTTCTGCGCGGCTTTCGAGCTTTGCGATATCTGCGATATAGTTTTGTAAAAATAAAAAGCATGAATTTGTTATAGTATCAAGGCAGTGTCAGTTTTTGTGAAATTAAACAGTTTTTCACAAACTCTGTGCCTTTGATTTATTATGAAAACATCAAGCATGTTTAAAAGAAGACTACAAGCCCTCGACTTCGTAGAATGGGACAAAGTGGATGTATTCGGTTCGTATTAACGATAAATTCTAGCATACAGGCATTACCTCTTGTTCTCTACTTAATTGAGATAATTCCAGCTTGATTAAGTAAAATTACTTTGTCGTAAGCGAAGAATTCTAAGACCTGTCGTTGTAACCTGTAACGTTGCAGAACGATTGCAGTTTAGTAAAGTAGTACTGTGGCTCGAGGACCAAAAAATACGTCGGTACACTATAGAAGGCAGGAAGGATCTACGAGATTTAAACAATGAAAGCTGGCCACAAACTTTTGCTAAATATTGCGAGGACGTTCAGTGTCCTGTTTTAAATGGTCCATTGGGCCAACTGGAATGGCTGATTGGGCATGCAATTTGGTTGGAAGCTGAAAACAATGGTAAATATTTCTGTACAAATGAAATTAATTAATGTTGTAAGAGAATAAAAACTGAATTATATTTTAGTGGAAGCATACTCTCAAAATGTGAAGGACATGAAATTGAAGATGGAACAGGACGCTAAATTACCTCAGCTAAAGTCCAAAAATCCACTTGACAGTTTAGACTGTAAGTATATCTGCATTGTACAAATGATAGGAAATAGTATTTTAATGATTAACTGATTTTATAATGTTTAGTTGATAGTAATGAGTTTAAAGATGGGACCAACGCAGTGGCGAAGCTACTTAAAATTCCGCGACATCCTAATCACCTCGTCACACTGAAAGCTTGTAGTGTATTAGTGCAGAAACGATTGAATCCTGAGTGCTTGAAGAATCCGAACTCAAAGATACTGCAGGGCAAACCGTTCCCTATAATGAACATTGATCCTGGTTTTAAATTCAAAAAACCAGCATTGGAGGATGCAGCGAAGGTTCTATCTCTTCTTTACATCCAAGATCTTAGAGATCTTCAAACTAGGATCAACGAAGTGACCGTTCGCGTTCAGAGCATCACGGCCAATCCCAAAACGGATACTAAGCTGGGAAAAGTTGGAAAATAGGAATAGATATTTTGTAACGAAATATTTAACGATACAATGTATAGGAATTTGAATAATTAATTAATTTGTACGATATTTAAATAGTCTTGAAACTTAATTACTATTTATTAATGAAATCGAAGGAATAAAATTCGAATTTCATATCGATTGAAGAACTTGCTGTCTCTTCCGATTACTGTTATTCATTAAACATTTAAAAAATGTAAAAGGAGTTACATTTTCTAATGTTATTTTATATTGTTTAAGTACGCAGATAGAATCAAACAACAAATTATAC